AGCTGCTGATCAGTTTCAGCAGCAGCTGACTTGGGGACACCTGGGGTTCTTAAGTTGAATCTGTATGCCAGATTCAGCCACTGTTGAAACTGATCAGTTTCAGCAGCGGCTGAATCTGGACGCCAGTTCCGACTTACATACAGATTCAACTTAAGAACAAACCTACAGTCCCTATCTTGTACGTAACCCGGGGACTACCTGTATTCAGAGCCATAGCAGGGATTAGCTCCCAGCTCTAGGAGCTAACTCCTCCTGTGGTTCTCCTGCTTATGGACTGATCAATTCGTTGGTTAAACTACATTAACATCCCTATTAGGCACCAGGGCTAAGAATGCCTCAATGCAGATTACAGTATATTTAAGCATAAGATGATGTAGATTACACTGTATTAAGCCATCTGTATGTGCCATAAATAAACTTAAATTGCTTTGGTAATATGTGGGATTTAATTTAAAACCATAACTAGCCATTAGTCTTAATTCTTACTATTGTACAGGTAGTCCCCGGATTACGTACAAGATAGGGTATGTCTACACTACCCTCCTAGTTCGAACTAGGAGGGGAATGTAGGCATACCGCACTTGCAAATGAAGCCCGGGGTTTGAATTTCCCGGGCTTCATTTGCATAAGCGGGGAGCCGCCATTTTTAAAACCCCGTTGGTTCGAACCCCGTGCAGCGCGGCTACACTGGGCTCAAACTAGGTAGTTTGGACTAGGATTCCTATTCCGAACTACCGGTACACCTCGAAGTAAGTCGGATCCGCGTAACTCGGGGACTGCCTGTATTACAATGTGCATGAAGACTATTTGTTTAGCAAAAGTGTGTTAAAAGATTTTTGCAATTTTTTTTTCAGTCAAAAGACTTGTTGAAAACATATCCTCCTTTTGTGAACTTCTTTGAAATGAGCAAAGAGACTATTATGAAATGTGAAAAACAGAAGCCACGGTTTCATGCTTTCCTAAAGGTATTTATGCATTGAACTTTATTTTCACCAACTATAAATATATTCTCTAACTCAGTGAATCTTGGTTTTCAGTTAGAGGAAGGAAAAGTGCTATAGATCTGTAAAATTTGGGAATGGATAAGGGAGTCTTAAGGACTACAATCCTTGGTAACTCTTCAAACCTTCAAAGAGACAGGTGGCACTTTGCAACCAGTATGTGACATTGGTGTCTCCAAGCTAACTGTCTGTCTGAAACTAGTTGTTTTACGTTTTAAATGTAGTAATCATCAGCATCTCCAGAAAGTGTTTGATATCACTGAGATTAAGTTCTTGAAAACATATTACGGATATCTTAATTCTATAAAGGGATGAGGGAGGGTTCATCTTAGACCCATGGTCACCAACCCATTGATCGGGAGGGCGCAACCAGTCGATCACGACGCAGGCATTCAGGGCCTCCCCATTTTCCCTCATCCCCAAGAAGCCCCACTGCCTACCTCCAGTGACAATGGAGGTAGAACTGGCTTCCTGCAGGGTAGACAGAAGTCCCACAGGTGCGTGCCACTTCTGGGGTTTCGGGAATTGCGCTGACTGCTCTCCCCCCTCCTGCAATCAGTTGGCATGGTACCAGACCCAGGTCTGTGGCGTGCCGGGGACTTCCTGCGCAATGAGGGGCAGGAGGCCTGGGGCAGGAATCCCTCAAGGAGGCAAGTGCCGGGACGAGCTTCCCCTGCTGGTGGGG